ATTTCACGCATGTTAATATTGATGATGTATTTTTAAGATTTCTGTTGACATCTGACCTCCTGATTTCCCTTAGAAATAGAGCTTCATCAAATCAATCTACTTTAGAATTACCAGAAAATGCAATATATCAGCTGGTGGATTAGATTAATAATAATTTTTAATTGTAATTTAATAAATGGATTAATTACTAAAGAATAATTACAATTAAATAAGAAACAAAAACATAACATACATACATGCTGAACAGAGACCGACGTTAAAAAGAGGAATGAAGAAGATTAAAAAAAACTTCTCAATGTTGATCAAACTTCAGATTTTGATTGGGAAAACTATGCAGAACAACGTTGTTCAAGACCGCAAATTGATTGGACTTCTGTGCAAAAATTTATCAACCACTTACTTGTGGACTACAGGACCACGCATACCTACAGGCATGTGTATGAGATTATAGGTATGTGCAACGCACTTGGCCTGAAGATAAAAGTAACATTTAGCGCTAATGTCTAATCGATGTTAGATTTGATCCAAATAGTTTGTGATTATTTGGTTTCAGAGTTTATATGCGCAGAGATAATAAATATAGATTGATCCTTATAGTGAATAAAAGCCTCAAATTCATAAAACATTGTCAAAACAGTCTTCAGGCCTTGCGAATTGATGACGATCGGAATATCTTGCGTCAATACCGACAGCAAACCACTGAAACTGCCAGTTAGCGGACACTAGTTGGTTTCCGATCCATAGCAGCGATTTTATTCGGCGGAAGGGTCACCTATCCAAAAAATTTCATTCAATCGTACATTCCTGCATTGTTTGATGGTGCACTTCCAGAACCATCCGGAAGAAGGGGATATTTTTCGGGAATGTTTGAGGTTGCAGCTTTGCAAAATACGAAATGTAGTAAAACAGTATCGCACACTCTCTGAGTAACTGCTTCCAAGCCATCGGGAGAGAACCGCCTGGAAGAACGCTGGATCGCACAGCGCAACTATCGAAAGATAAACAAACTTTGACGTTTAACATTTTGTAGGCAACATTGCCTCCATAACTGCTGCCATAAATCAGAATTGGGTTAGTGTCAAGCAAAATGGCCTTAGATAAATGCAATTCAGTCTACAAGCTTTCTGCATTAATGCTATTTCTAAACCTTATGAATTTGTTAGGGATTTCTTGAAAGCAAAACAACTTTTCACAATGGCCCATGAAAATCAACTTTTATGCCTCCGCCATATTACACCATAGAGGTAACTCTAAGACCAGAAGGTCTCGAAGAAACGTACTCAACTTTTTGGTTCAGCTCTGATACTGAAGATAATACGATCATCGCAGCCAACGTCGAGAGAGCGTCGAGGTTGGGCGTCCTTGAGGAAAGCCATCAGCGCAGTCAACGTCGAGGGGTCGTTAACAAGTAGATTCCAGACATTCTCCGGGAGATCGTGTTGTTCGCGTAGCCTCTGAAACTGCGGGCAGACACACAGCACGTGTTCCATCGAGGCGAGGATGCTGCAAATTGGACAAACCTTGCGGAAAGGTGTCCCGCCGAAATTGCATTAAATCCTTGTGTGGCCGGTCCGGAGTATTGAAATGATCCGCTGGTCCTTGTACATGTGGCTGTCCAGCCAGGGCCATACGGTTTCCTTGATCTTTCTCAGAAAAGTATTTTGCGACTGGAACCATTCCTGCTGTCAGGCTTCCATGATAGTATTCTCAATTCAACGCCTGACGTCTAGAAGGGGTACGTTCCTGGTGTAGTGAGGACTGGATGGACCAGATTCCGCCAGTCTGTCCTCAGCCTCGCTTCCGAAAACACCGCAGTGTCCGGGAATCAACGTAAAGACGGTTGAAGGTGGGACGTACCGTGTAATGCATTTTATCCAGCACCTGAGTCCATTAGCACGAGGATCGGTTGATCTGCCGAAGTCATAGCTGCATCGAGAACATCTATGGTTTCTGCGGAAAAAAAAAACAGAACACTCCTCCGGTAGACTTTTACTTGTTGCAATGTTCGGTCCTGCCACTCCAAGTCCAACTCCAGCTCGGGACCACGAAACGTCCGTAAAGCGATGAACTTGCCCAATATCAACCGACGCGAGAAGCTTTGCAGCAGATCTTATCTATTTTGACATCGTTTGGTCGCCAACTCTTTTATCTATGCCAGAGGATCCTGGCAACCGAGGGGAGGTCAAGGTTGGCTGCAGTGTGGAGGGCTCTGTTCCCCTTGTTGAGGATAAAGACCCTATCGTTCCTGGATGTCTTAGCGGCATGGGCAGATCGATAGCGGAAGAAGGTCGATGCGCATGTAGGTATTGTATACCGGAGCGAGGATGCGGTTGAGCTTCTCGGTGGCTAAGCAGGTAATTTCACATGTAATGTGGCTATGTACACGAAAAGTTTCAAACTTTGTTTAGAAAATGTCACGAAAAATGCCAAAACAATGTTGTCCCATCCGTAAGAGCTCATGAAGAAAAAAATCTCTTCAACAGCGTTTTTCTCAGCTTGCTATTTTAACGAGTGGGACAAAGATGCTGAAAATGGCAGTGTAGTGCCACCTAGTTTATGAATTCCCATGATCAGTATTTACCATCACAGAGGGTTTACTTTACATGAGAGTATGCATAAATGACGTAGCACATTTTTCACAAATTTGAAAACCACCTTTGCCATGTAACAAACATGACAGATAATAACTTCTGCAGAACCCAGCCTCCTTTTCATTTTATTTTTAATTTTATTTCATTTTATGATGTACAAAGGGGGTCAGGGGCCATGTCACCGATGTGAATATTCACACCATCCATAATTCACCAGAGAAGGGGAGAGGAGTGAGCAACACAGCATCTTTACCCATGGGGGTTAAAAAAGTTCTGCGAGGTATACTTATGGTAAACCAGCTGCTCAGGGATTGTAGAAAGGAAAGGGTTGGGTAGGTTTTGTATGAAAAGCGCATAAGTTATTATCGTATCGTTGAAAAATGGCCCCATTTGGTTTGCGCTCTCGTCACATAGCGCATCGATTACATCACACCGTCAATGAAAAAGAAATTAAAAGCGATTGAAAGAGATTATTAGTGATTTTTAAACTGTGATTTACCTATTAGTAATACATTTGTAAAATTATCTCCGTGTACTGAACAGCCATCTCTCTCGCCCTCCCGTCGCCTAAACGTCTGAAGGAGTGTGACGTCAAACTCCGTCATCCATTCAATCAGCCGGAGAACGAAAGAGCGTGCAATGAGCGTCAGCGACCCTAATAAAGAGTGGGGGGAACACCATACATGAACGATACCACAAATCGTGCCACCGTACCACATATTGTTGGGATGATAACCCGAATAGGTTGTTAGCGAGGGGGGCGACACATCTAAATCTCAATTCTAGATGCTCAAAAAATCTCACACTAGCGAATCAATCTTCGAAAAATCATCTTTCATTTCTCGCATCTACTTGCATCGTGCTTCATCTTTTTGCAGGAAATCTTCAAAATCGACATAAATCTTCCTTCAATCTACTCAGCGTGCGTGCAGCTAGCTACAACAAAACACAATCTTTTCTGCATCGCAGATAGAGTCGTCCCCCTCGGTTGTTAGGCACTACTTATGGTTATCGTTCATGCGGGTGTTTCAAAGCATTTTACATCTAATCAACCCTCTGTGCGACCCAACCCGTGCAATGTATTTAATGTTGAGAGCCTTGTGTGCTTTATCATGAGTGGTCACGGATCTGGCAATCTTTACATGACTATGCGTCCCGGTGACGACGACTACGATCTAGCCGGTTTACAATAGGTTTTATGCAAGAGTACTAGAATAGATCGGAGTATACTTACAGTTTTCGACGTTCCCATGTTCTCCTTGTTTACGTTCAATACTACTTCCTTCTCTTGTTGTATTGTGTTTATGGATATGCCACTTCCATCATCCCTCTGACACAAGATAATGGATCCTCGCTCCGGAATGTCTTCAAAACTGGGGGGATTAAAATTGCTCCTCGTGCACAACTCTTCCAGATGACCGAAAGAGCGCTCGGTCCGATTGGTTTCACCCGATATCCTTGAAATACTTGACATTTTGAATGAAACATTGCCATTTCCAGACTTCGTGTTGTTAGTTTTCTTGAAGGTCTTGTGCTTAATGCTAGATTTGTCTTTCGCTTCGTATTTCTAAGAATTGACTCTATAAATAGATAAAAAAAAACAAAAACAAACACAACGCTTCCCGCCCACAAGCTGTAGACCGAGTGCAGAATCTTTGTGATGATACTTTCCAAACGTGCATACCTATAGAAATAAATCCAATTCAATAAAGGATGGATTAAAAAACAAATGATTTCCACTGCGACTAAATCCTGCATTCCTACTAAAATATCAAATGCTGTGCTTAATCATTTATTATTAGTACAGAGCAATAAACAATGTACGGTGATGATTAATCTGTTAATATGCTTTTATAAGCGGGTTCAAATGCACTTTTGGTAAGCATCAACACTGATCTGGCAACACTAGTGTGCATCTTTCCAATGTGGTAAAGATCCAGATCAGCCCTGGGACCTGGTAGCTTAATTAAACTACCTCAAGATTTTGCCAAAGCCCAGGGAACTTCTGCAGAACCCACCCTCCTTTTCATTAAAATTCTAGGTCATTTATGGATGTTCCCTAATAACTTTTCCGAAGATAGGAACATGCTATTAGATATTATTGCAGATGTAAAAGAAAATGCATTTTTAGATCAGAACACTGTAGCTTCCTATGATCCTCGAGTTCGCACTCACGAAACCACACTTTTTTAACCTGAATCAACTATTTTTTAATAATTTATTCATAAATATTTCTGCACAACCAACCCAGATAAGTTATAATGAAGTTTCTATTCTATTGTCGCATATTTTTCAAAACGCGTGTACTCAGTGTACTAGCACGACTGCTGGAAAGTTAATAACGCACAAATTACCGAGGGTCCACCGTAAAGGTGTTCGGACAATTTCAATAATATACCATTTCAAATATGTTGCACAATTGTTTATTTTCCAATACAAAAACTACTGAATATAAAGTCAAGAATTTCTTCCGTTTCAATAGTCCCGGTTATTTTGCCAATACACCTAACCGCATTCCGAAGATATTGCGTTGCTATTGCTAGATCTGGATTTGGCCCATGCCTCAGGTATTCTTCGTACTTTTCCAAATATTCAACGCACTGCTTCAAATGATGGCGATACCTCTGCTGACTTAAGTTGGGATTTTCCTTGCACGGATTCCCGCAGATATGCTTCAAGTAATTAGCTATTTGATTCAGAACAGGCTGAAGGCCATCTCTCGTATGACAGGATAGAAGACTAAGATTATTTATATGACGGAGGGATGTCAATGTGTCGGTTGAGAGTAAGTCAATCTTGTTGACAATCAACATTGAATTAGAATTGTTCAAAATGCTTTTACTGAAACCTAGCGTGGCAAGATGGTGATGGAGATACTCATCAAAGGTCTTTCTGGAAGCAGTTAGGTAATTTTGCATATTCTCTGCGTCTATGATGAGTATTATGAAATCAGCTGACTGAAGGTAGTCTCTGGCTCTGGTGATTCCTTCATGTTCCACAATGTCACTCGTATCTGTTCGTAAGCCAGCAGTATCAGCAAGTATCACCGGATACCCTCCAATGTCATGGTGGCTTTCGATGATATCCCTTGTGGTTCCCGCAACATTTGTAACGATGGATACTTTTCTATTGCTGAGCAGATTGACAAAACTACTTTTCCCGACGTTGGGAGCTCCGATGATCACTGTTCTAACTCCCGCCCGTAGCCTTTCTCCACGCCTGTGATCGTTTAGATGAGTTTTAACATCAGAAATAATCCCGGAGACATCAGATTTCACGGAATCCAGCACACCATCATCCACATCCTGATCTTCGGCGAAATCAATATAAGCTTCGACACTAGCAATACACTTTAACAGTCTGCCTCGTAGCTGATTGTAAACTTTGGATAGCTCACCGTTGGCCTGGAGCAATGCTTGCTTTCTTTGAGCTTCGGTTTCGGCTTCGATGAGATCGGCCAGACCTTCCACCTCTGTTAGATCCATTTTGCCTGCGTAGAATGCTCGCTTTGTAAATTCACCAGGTTCGGCCAATCGAACGCCTTCAATCGATCCTAGACTGTCATACATTGCGCTAACGACCGCAACACCTCCATGAACGTGAAACTCGACCGAGTCTTCTCCAGTGAAGCTGTGGGGACCTGCAGGACAATAAACCGGAAACAAGTTTAAAATTCGCTCCCATAAAAAATTAATGCAGTGAAATCTATACAACTTAATATTGAAGGGACCATCGAATTATAGAAATATTGAGTATTAGAACAACAATCCCATAGAAAATCAGTTTCACAGTAGTCATGAAATTCATTTTCACTATGCTTCTATAACTTCTAAGTAGGACATCGAGTTATGGAGTGTTGACTGTATAACGAGGATTAAGGGAAGAGGTAATCCACAAATTATGTAAGGGTTTTTGAGTATTTATAAGACCCTCCCCCCCCCCCTTCTGCCTTGTAAAACACTGTAAGATTTCCAATTAACTGCCTTCCCCTAAAATCTTGGTAAGATTTCAAAACATTCAGAAAATCTGTAAATATTAAGTTAGGAACATTTTTATATAAATAAATCAGATTACCATATGCTCATAATGTATGTTCCGGATTGTTGGCATAAAAACGGTAAAGAAAAAAAATTCTAGCTATTGTATGTTATGTAAGAAATATCAGCCCACTCCCCTCTTTGTAAGAAGCTGTAAGAAAGGTTTAGGACACTCCCTAATCCCTTACATCATTTGTGGATGACCCTTCAATGCTTCTATAGCTGCTCCTGTGCAGCAATTGATGCTGGTGTTTATGTAATTGGTGTTACATGCCATATTGATGGTATACTAGTTCATTAAAGAACGTTCTCATAAAATCATGCACGCACACTATGAGCAATTTATGTGGTTGTCAAAAATTCAACAATTGCTCAATTTTGACCAAACCTGAGACATAAATTGAGAAAACTATGCAGAAAAATTATGTGAAATAATGTTAAAATCGATACAACTTCTGTGCAAAAATTTAATAACATTTTACTCAATACCAAGTGCTTCGTGCATAAGCTCATATAACCTGTACACAGAAGTGGAAGTTTGGACCAGAAAGTTGCTCCACTTTTCATTGGCGAACATTAGCGCACCTTGCGGTAGAAGGCATCTTCAGCCTGAAGTTAAGATAGGCAGCATGCTATGATAGTGTGAGTGCCCATAGACAGTCCGTGTGGAACGTTTCCTTTCCAACGCGTCGATTTTTTAGCAGAAAACCTTACCACTTTTTGATTCACCGATTTGTTTGCAGTTCACCTTCTGTTCTGTGGTGCAGCTTCAAACTTGAAATCATCATTGGTTCATTCATTATGGTTGTCATTGGATCATAGAACCTACCAAATTAATGCATGACTCACATGTTATCTGAACACTTGATATCACCTCTTTGGGGTCGTCCATTAATTATGTCACACATTTAGGGGGGAGGGGGGTGTCTTGAAAACTGTGACGAGCCATACAAAAAAAAATTAAGGTCCATACAAAAAATGTGACAAAGGGGGGAGGGGGGTTTTGAAAATGGGCCAAATTTGCGTGACATAATTTATGGACCATCCCTTTCGGGGGATTGCATTGTCGTAAGAAAAGCTAAGTAGGGTAGAGCGCTACTTTGACGTAATAGCTCATTTCATTTCTATCGATCAGAAAACGTCAATAATATAAATATGATTCCACAAATCAATAATACGTTTGTTTCGATGCGTTATCTCATAAGCTACATAACAAAGCCTATAAGAAGCGCTACTAGCGGATCCATTTTGTCTGCCTAAATCCTTGGAAAGAAGAAAATCCAATGAAGATTCAATGCGTTAGGACGGAATTGAAACTCGTAGAACGAATTTAGAGTCAAGAATGGGTGTTATTCTTTATGAAAAATGACGGTACGTATGGAAAGGTAAATAAATATGGAAGTCATCTAGTTATAGTAGAACCATTCCGTTTTTATCATATTCGAACGATAAAGAGATGTAAAGTGCGGATAGTACTTAATAGGACGAAAATTAGATCACAAACCCAATTACAGAAATTATGGGTACACTTTGAAGCTACCATTTTTGCCCAATTACGTTAAGCAGCTGCTCATCGATTGAGTTCATGTTTACATATTAGTCAACAAGTCTGTTAGCAGAAAAGCAAGTTTATAAGGCTTGTACTCGAAAAAAAAGCACCATTTTTATCCGTGTGTAACTTTTTTATCTGTGGGTAAAAATTGATGAAAATCTGGGTATAACTAGTTTGGACTGAATTGTTTACATGTGCAAAATTTCATAACAATCGGTTCAGTGGTTATTGAGATGTCATCGAAACAAGAAGAAAATCGCCGGAGAATTTTGCGCGCCGTCATGGAAAATCCGACTGCGACCATGAGATGGATCGGAAGACAACTGGGAATCACCCATACAACTGTGTCTCGGGTGGTAAAATCGTTTAAGGAGTCCCAGACGACCGTGCGGCGGGCTGGAAGTGAAAGAAAATCGAAGACAGCTGACCCTGTGAAGGCCCGGAAGGTGTTGGATTATTTCAAGCGTAATCCGAACCTTTCGATTCGCGACGCGGCTCTGAAGGCAAAGTGTTCCACCTGGTTCGCTCAGCAAACCATGAAACGAGCTGGGCTTCGTGTATTCAAGGTCCGGAAGGCACCGAACCGGCGTGATCAACAAAACACGGCGGCCAAATCCCGCGCAAGGTATGTGTGGTATCGTGTGGTATGTGTGGTTATGAATGACGAAACCTACATCAAGGCAGACGCAAAGCAGATACCGGGGCTGCAGTTTTACGTTGCGTTCTACGTCTACGGTTTGATGTTCCGGAAGACATAAGGAAGAAGAAAGTGGACAAATTTGCCAAAAAATACTTGCTCTGGCAGGCCATATGCCAATGCGGTAAACTGAGTAAACCGTACATCACAATGGGTACCATCAACAGCGAAATTTACCGCACCGAGTGCCTCCAGAAGCGTCTGTTGCCCTTCTGCGGTCCCACGGAGGTGAGACATTATTTTGGCCGGACCTGGCATCATCCCATTACGCGCGATCGACGTTGGATTGGTACAGAGACAATAACGTTGTTTTTGTACCAAAAACCATAATGAAGGCCAAAGTTCGAAAATCGTCTAAGGTGTTTAAGAACGAGCTGGAGTTGAATAAAGAATGGATGAAAGTGACCAAAATGGTCGGCTCCACCATTGCAGAAAATGTAATGAGGGGTCTTAAGGCAAAGGTGCAGGCTTTCAGCGATGGAAAGGAAATTGAATAAATTAATTATGCCGAAACATAATCCATATGTATTAGTTCATTCCCTGAAAGTTTCATGAAAATCCGACTTAAAATAAATTTTTGGCGAACACTTTTGTCTGGTGCATTTTTTTCGAGTACAGGCCTTATGTTGGTTGAAAATGCTATCTAACATGAAGCTTTATTGTGATAATTTATTAGCTAGAGAAAGGTCTACATAGAAGTTTGAAAATGAGCGAGGTCCATTAATGCGACAGTACTAGTCAAACGCACACTTCTGTACTTAACTCATAGATTGATGAGGAAACTTGAAGTATTTCATATGAAAATCGTAAACTTCACGTATGAAGTAACATAAAAACACTATGAATCTAGTTTATATGTTCAAAATGCAATGCATTTTCCCGAACGTCTTCAAATTTTGATTGTACAAATTGTGCTCCTTTTCAAAGTCCCCACTGTGAAAGTACCGATACACTGTAGGGAGCGACCATTTGAACCTTTTCAGCGAGTACATGCAGATTTTGCGGGTCCTTTCATGGGAGTACATTTTCTTATCATCTTAGATGCTTTAAATAAGAGGCCGGAGGAGAAAGTTATTCCTGATATGACAACAGAAACAACCATTGATCGTATGCGGGAGCTATTTGCTAATTTGGACTGCCAGTACTAGTTACAAATCGAGGAACTCGAGGTATTTTATGTTTGAGTTGTTCCAAATATTTCTGAAGAAAAATGGGATCGTTCATAAAACCGAGGCTCTGTATCATTCAACCACAAATGGGCAGGCTGAGAAGTACGTACAGACATTCAAGTATAAGATCAAGGGCTTCCAGTGTACACCATTTTGATGGCGTATAGACGAACTGTTCATCCGTTAACCGGGAAAAGCTCTTCGATGCTGGTGTATTGAAGGTAAATGATATCGTGAATCGAATTGATGATGATCCATCTGTAGATAAGAGTTCTATTTTTTGAAGTGAGAAAAAGACGGTGCGATCATTTGAGGTTAACGATATGGTTGCGGCAAGAGACTTCCTTTCTTACATTAAATGGTGCAACTAGGTAGATGATGGACGAATGTGAAAGCGTCACATGATCAACTGCGACCTGGACCTGTATATAGAGCGTACTACCCGTAATGAAGACTGTTATTCCGAATACCGTACCTTCTACCCCAAATCTTTCCGTGCAACCAGAGTCGTCTATGTCGAATAAGTAACCCAATTCACACGAACCACTTGGTTCACATTCATCATTGAACCCACGTAGTTCTGTCAGCAACACATATCAAGGCATTGGGTCAGGCACAGGGCCTAATAGAAAAGTAGAAACTGATAATGAGGGTATGTGACGATCCACTAGAATTAGAAGGCCTCCTGTCAGACTTGACCTCTGATTTTGTGTTTACTAACTTACTAACATACTAACACCCTATGTGTAACCAAAAATGTTCATGTTAGGGGGAGAAATGCTAATAATCAGTTTGACATTACCAGTCCACAACACTCACATGCCATTGACTATGTTGATCGTTTTTGAATAAAGTGTCATTCCTTTACAAGAGTTCAAACCAACCGTACGTTGTTCGTCTCTCTCTCTCGCTCTCTCAACCCAACCATCCGAAAAAATACAACACGCTTATTGTGACTCTCTGAAAGCAGAATTGGCAAGTGTTAAGTGGCAAACACATACTTCACAACGCCATACTGTATCCACAGACAAACAGACATAACACTCACCATCACATTCTCCGCAAATAAGGTTTTAGTTGGGAATTTGCTCGCATTTGTCATGGTGTAGGCACTCATTAGTGATGCATTTCCATGTTTAAAAACTTGTTTCCAGCAAAAGAAAGATCGCACTAAACAATCAAAACAAATTCCTAAAAAATACTAAGCTTCTGTGAATTTCTCCTACGGATCCGTGTTTCTGCAGAATTTAATCAATTCTATACTGCAATAAAGCATTACTGTCCCATATGAATAGGAAATCAAGCAAATATGGGACAATTATGCAGTACCTACACCATCTGTATTATGAGTAAATATTCAGCTTAATAAAATAATGCTTGTAGAAGAATTACAATAATTAAGCGGTGGCGTTTGTAATAGCTACTTTTGGATTATTTTTTTCTTTGCGACTGTCTCTACAAACGAAAAAGACGAAAAGTTTGGTCCATCTCCTCATTGGATTATTAAGTAACATTTAGTTTCGGCAGAAGATAAAACCAAAAGAAGTATTTGTTAACAATCACAAAAAACATGCCATAATAAATTCAGAACAACAATATATGGTAAAACACATGACATAGTATAGTTAAAACAACAATGCATAGTAGCCTTATCAAAAGGCATAAATAAAATAAATAGAATCCAAGTGATATTCCAGTCAACAATACCATGTAATGTAAACCTTTACTGCATAGTATATTTGAATACATTGGTACTCGTTTATAAAGTACTTTAAAGTCGTTTTAAAAACGTAGATGCATTATATTTAATTTAAACAACCACTATGCTGAATTTTCCAGCACATTTTCTTTCCGTGTATATCTGGATTCCCGAAGTGACAATTAAATTTCCGACTTTCTACCACATTTTTCCCGGTGATTTTCGATTCTCGACAATTTCTCGCATTTCCCGAATGAGTGACCACCCTAAAGTTTGTTTCATGGTCTACACAATATTAACAACTAATCTGTTGCATAGCATATTCATACGATGGATGACATTCACATGAAAATCTAGAACATAACTCACCAGGAAACCAAAGCACCAGTCCCTTGTCGATCATCTCCGCCTTTTTGGCATGAAATATCCGACGAAGCACTGCATTTCTCGGCTTGGGAAGAGTTTCAATTTGTGTTTTGCATTTCATAACATCTTTGCTGGTATCACCTGACACTCGAATTACTGCTACACCACACTTTCCGGCACCTAAGGGAATACATTATATTTACATTATCGCATGTTTCGTAGACAACAATTTTATCGACAAACCTGAAGACAAGCCGAAAATTGTAGCCCTTGTAGAATACCATCGTTGCAGTGAGTGAAACGATTGCAGAGCCAATCGAGAAAGCATTATCGGAAGAAAATTTCGATGTTTTACTTCGTTCGTTTTTGTTTACTTTTTTGACAACCGACTGGTAACGTATTCAATGTAAAGCCCTACAGTAAAAGTATGGACGTCTGTCAAAAGTTGTTCCAATCGAACCGTCAAAATGCACCGCTTTGCTCGATTGGAACAGCTTTTTTCAGTTTTGTGGTGACAGTCGTCCATACTTTTACTGTAGGGCTTTAATTCAATGTGGCTTCGTGTATTCAAATTGAGCATGCGCTGGTTTTAAAAGAGTATTAGTGCATGAAATTCTAATAAGATCTTTCGCTCATTTAATATTATTCGGTTATACGTTTCATTTATCGAATATTAGATGCAGATAATCATTCATGTTGGTTTTTGAACATAAGCATAAGCATAAGCATTAATAACGATGATCAATATTAGAATCTATTTTTTTCTTCTGTCTATTCGAAAATTGAAAAGAGACCAGAGTTTTTTTTTCTGTGTATGCTATACAAAAATAGAAGTCAGTGTTTACCCTAATAAAAAATAACCATAAACGAACGATAACCCAAATCATTGAACTATTCCACAAATGGTTTGGATGATACCCAGAACACGTCGTTAAGCAAATAAACCATACAATTTTTATTAGGGTAACAGTTTGTAAGTTTTTTTAATTATAGTCTCTTTAACAGTCTTTGTTCATTCATGACTTGTTCGTGTATGAGATGATTATACTCGTGAATTGGATGTTTTGCTATTAATTTTTTTGAACTGTTTGTTCATTTCATTGGATCCTGCATTTCAAAATAAGTGGATTGTTATTCCTGTTGAAAGTTTGATTTTGCTAAATAATATGAATATTAGAAAAAATAAATTATTTGCTTACATCTTTGGTTTCAATGGTGTTTATAGGCATTTATATGTAAAATACGTCCATAATGGGATATTACAATCAACATCCTGATTTTTCCAAATCCTAAAGCCAAACGTAAGAAAACAATACATGATTCACTAGGCGAAAAAAAAGAACAGAGACATCTTTCTGTGAATTTTGTTTTGTTTTTGATAAACGGTGTGAAACATAGAACAAAAATTCTTGTAGTGATGACACAGTTACATCGACAAGCACGTAGGATGCGACCTATTGATGAATTTACGCAAAGGTAAAACTGGCCATGCGACACCTAGTTTTCAGATTTTCAATTACAAAACTGTTGACTGTTGTACGATGTGACCGATCCTTTTTCCTCACCTCTTAGACCGCAGGTGAGGAAAAAGGAAACTAGTGGACTCTTTCGTTCTCGCGTCTTCTTATGCAGCAACAGACGTGACGTCACGTCTGCTGTTGCATAAGAACACCGTCAGAATGAAAGAGTCCACTAGTTTCCTTTCTCCTCATCTCTTATACCGCACATCGCGATGTGACAGGTAGCAAAACGTCATTTCCATTTTAACATCATTTCCCTCTGCTGGTCGACTATAACGTAAATTCATCAATTGGCGAATTTAAAGCAAAGCCAAACTGGTCATGCGACACCTGATGATGTACTAAAAAAAACGTCATGCAAAACGTCATTACCATTATCACTCACTCGCCATATTTGAGTCAATCGTCACTTTGATTCTTCAATAAACGCTCTACAATCTACAGTCGATTTCAATTCTCCTCATTGACTGAGTAGATTTTTAGTGCCCTCTTGTTTTCTCTTATGGAAATTCTACTCAGTTGCATTTCAAAGGAGAACTTACTCAAACGGAAAAACGAGTCAATGCATTAATGAATATTTTTCAACCACTTTTGGGAGCTTGTTCGAGCTGTCATAGAGTCACAGAACAGATAGGTAACTCAGAGCAAACGGTTTCATCTGAAACTGAGTTCATGTTTTTCTTGTAATTTTTGCTATTCCTTTCTATTTTCATTTCGCAGTGCACATGATGATTTTAAATCTTGTATAAATTGGTATAATAACCGTTAAAACATTTTGCTTACAGTACGCTCCTAATTGTTTGAACATGCAAAAATTAAATTTCCTTTTTTTCATGCTTGGCCAATCATTATTGACGTAATTCCAGTGGCTTTGTTTGAATACGTGAATGGGGTATTGCATTGCTTTGCATAAAATCACTATTAGTATCACCGTATCACAATTTATTTGAACCAATTATAAACATATTTGATAGGATTTTGGTGAAATGTCTCGTTTTTAAATATGGTGATTGCAAATGTGTTTGTGTAACAACTATGTATGTATGTACAACTATGCTACTTGCTGTTCTGACTCTGTATGACCATAATAAGGTTCGATGCCTCCGCCATTTAACTATTCATGGTCAAGCAATCGGTGTATTTTTTTTTGTTCAATTCAACTACACAACAACGAAAACGCAACGTAAAAGTTTAAAGTCCGTGCGCGGAAAAAATGATATGGTTCAAAAGATCTGTCGGCAGGTTTGTGCCAAAGAGTAGTATCAGATTTTTTTTAGAAACTTTGCTCACAATTTTACTGATTTTTACATTCATCACTTGCTTTGCAATTTTGCCACCCTCAAGCATTGTAAAAATAATGTTTTATACTTTGACTATATGTTTAGTATTACTTCTGCGTGAAGTCAACGATTTACATAGTTGAAGATGCTATTTCGAATAACAGACTGAAGTGGTAATGTTTTATATTCAAATTTTCAATTAGTTAGATTTTTGATCTTAACACAAAAAAGGTAAGGGAATCCATTCTGAAGTTTTCACCAGTGAAAGATAAGAAATCTTCAAGTAGGGTAAGTGTGCCAGTTTTAAAACTAATGCTCCAGTTTTGTGCTCTTACATTGTAACGAAATAAATAATATAATGCATGAAAAAAAATCTGAAATTCAGGATAGCGCCAATTAGATGACAACTAGAGTTAAAACCTGGCACACTTATCCTTCAAAAAAAAATATTGAAAAAATGTGAAAAAAATTTCGGTTTTTCTTTGCAATTTTTCTACATCGTGAAAATTTTCATGGAAATCATTTTTCAAATTATATTTTTATGAATTTATGAGATGATTTCACATCATTATAAGACAATTTTTTTCGTTTGATTTGTTTTCCGTTGATTCCGACCCATCAACTCATGGACCGGGGACCAACGGCTTTACTTCCTTTCCGAAGGAAGGCGTGATCAGGGATTTTATGCCTCAGAAAATCCGGCGGCGTCGACTGGGATTGAACCCAGGCTTTTTGAGATGAGAGGCAATCACGATTGCCACTACACCACCGGTGCCACTATAAAACAATCCAAAAACTTCATTTGGTTCCAGTGATATAAAAGAAACTTGATATGTGACAAAACCGGATGCATTATTAACTTTAATCAAACCAAAAGTAACCGAGAACATTGGGATTGAACCCCGAACAACCGAGATGAGAGGCTTAGTAACCTTAAACCACAGATGCTTTGGGAAAATGGATGACCCCCAACTTACGGTATTATCCTTTTTGCGAGTTCATCAAGTGCACCAGCGCGTCTGTTGAAAATGTAATAATATGCGGGTCACGACTGCGTGTGTTATTTGTAATTAACGTCATGTTAAATAGCCCAAAAATATTAAATATTAAAGCAAAACTAAAATCTGACTGCATTGACACCCTCTTGTGTGCAATATTTAATTTCAAATATACTACTGATGTTCATTCATTAAATTCATAAATCCACTAATAAGCTAAAGCTATACAAATATGCTAAAAAAGATCATGTGTCAAATAAGCTGTGCATGCATAACATAATTATAATCTGTTGCGTTTGGCTATTTCAATACAAGCATTCTTTAGTAAAATAAATGTTGCGTACTTTAATAAAACGGTAAAGTTTTCATTTGATTCACATGATCAAAATATTAGGATAGTACCATGTGTTGCAACGCTCCTTTCCGTCCTCTGGATATTCATGAATGCTTTCACTTGGCCATTGCTGTGCGGGAAAGGACAGCCAGCTGGGTCCATGCTTCCACAATGCACATTCGACGAAATTGGTGGTCTCCATTCCTCGCGATACCAGATCTACAGGATTGTGTTTGCCGGCTACGTGGTTCCAGCGCGCTTCGTAACTAGACGATTGTATTGCGGATGCACGGTTTGCCACAAATGTTTTCCAGGTGTTGGGTGAAGCCTTTAGCCATTGGAAAGTCATATGATCGCGCACGGTAGGACCCGATTTTCTACGTTGTGTTATAATTAATTGAAACAGATCGATTTATTGTTGCTTTGTTTTGTATATTGTAGTGATACACTGGGTAGGGTAGTTGCACATATAGATGACCTTGCACAAACAAAGAGCCATTTGAGAAAACTCCTTTTCCTAGAAAAAACCATAATGTCTTGAAATATAATGAACTTAACGTTTTTTTTTAAATTTTGCACCTTTTTAGTCATTATAAAGATCATTGATATTCCACTACTTTTACTAAAACTCGTCCACTAGGATAAAAGTTGAAAATCAAGCGTTTTACTAACATTAATCTAACTTCATACAGGTTCTTCCAATAATGTCCAAAACTAAAGCGATAAATCAAAAAACATCTGTTTAACCACCAGCCAGAATTAAAAAAATATCTGTTCACAATGTTTCAAAACATGTTCCACCAGGTTGTACGCTCAATTTTGCGATGGTCATGCGACATGGTGATACAGCTTTGTCACTATTTGCATGGTAACCGCAAAATACTCAATAATGACTATAAAATACTCGATATTGACTACAAAGTAAGCATTTTCGAGGGAGACTGGGACTAAACCATTAAATGAGTAAAAATATTACTCATTTATGAGTATTTGTTACTCAAAAATGAATACTTACTACTTATTTTTGTAGTTGTAATTACTTATACATGGGTAAAATTTTACCCATTTAATGGGTAGTCCCAGTTTTCCTCGAAAATGCTTACTTTGTAGTCATTATTGGGTGTTTTGCGGTTACCGTGTGAGCAAGGATATCACCGACAAACTGACTTACTTTACCTTACCAATCAGGCTGAGGCCTTGTTGTTCTCTGCTGTCCGAAGAAGTCGTCTCCACTCTACTCGATCCATGGCCACAGTTCGCCAGCCTCGTAGTCTGCGAAGGGTCCGCCTTCTACTTGGTCGATCCACCTTGCCCGCTGCGCGCCACTTCTTCTTGTTCCTGTTGGGTCGGTTTCTAGAACCATTTTCACTGGGTCGTTGTGCGGCATTCTTACGACGTGCCCAGCCCACCGTAGTCGCCCAATTTTTGCAATGTGGACGATGGATGGTTCTCCCAGCAGCTGGTGCAATTCGTGGTTCATTCGCCTCCTCCACGTTCCGTCATCCATCTGCACTCCACCGTAGATGGTACGCAGCATCTTCCGTTCAAAAACACCAAGGGCGCGTTGGTCCTCCACAAGCATAGTCCAGGTCTCGTGGCTGTAAAGGACCACCGGTCTAATCAGCGTCTTGTAGACTGTCAACTTCGTGCGGCGGCGAATTTTATTCGACCGGAGCGTCTTTCGGAGTCCAAAGTAGGCACGATTCCCTGCCATAATGCGTCTTTGAATTTCTCTGCTGGTATCATTTTCGACGGTCACCAGTGAGCCCAAATACACGAACTCATCGACCACCTCGATTTCGTCACCGTCAATCTGAACTCGGGGTGGGAGGCTAACATTGTCTTCCCTAGAACCTCTTCCTTTCATGTATTTTGTCTTTGATGCGTTGATGGCAAGTCCAATCCGTCTAGCTTCAGCCTTCAGTCTGATGTACGTTTCCACCATCATCTCAAAGTTCCGTGCCATAATGTCAATGTCATCGGCGAAGCCAAGGAGCTGGATGGACTTCCTGAATATCGTGCCACTCGTGTCTATCCCAGCTCTTCTGATCACACCTTCTAACGCGATGTTGAACAGCAGACACGAAAGTCCATCACCCTGCCGTAACGCCCTTCGAGATTCAAAGGGTCTCGAGAGTGTCCCCGATACTCGAACAACGCACATCACTCGATCCATCGTCGCCTTGACCAAACGAAATTACTGACTGACATGACACTTAATTCTGACTTATGCCCGAAAATCGTAAACGACCGATTTAAATGTGCAGTGATCCGAACTGTCATAGCCGTAGGATTTTTTGATCTAGATAAAAATACTTTGTCCAGAATAGATTAGGCAAGAACCAATTCATAACTTTTGCATGCGGGTTCATGACTTAGCTAAATATTTCCTGCGAACACGTAGCCAGATGTCAGTAGTGTGCTTTGGTCAGAAATTTTATTGTTTTTGCTATAGTATCATGTCGGTTTATCGGTGAGGATATCGCGCGGGGAAAAAGTGTGGTTTTAGAGCAAATTGTAAACAAACTCAGTCGCTGTCCCATACACAAATCTAACATAGACAACCTATATGTAGTCACCTTGATAACAACTATCGAAATGATGATGACACATTCTACCAAAATTGATTTTTTGACTGATTTTGTAAATCTTCTTCATTCCTTTATTTAACGTCGGTCTCTGTTCCGCAATCTAGTGCCAATCACCGACGGTCATCGATTGCAATCCATTGACGGCAATCGAATGTGCAGGAAGGCAGCTTCCACACCTGCGGAGGATATCGCACCCATTCAAACACACATGGGCCGGGACCAACGGCTTTACTTCCCTTCCGAAGGAAGACGTGACCAGAGATTTTTATGCCTCAGAAAAATCCCACCGACCTCAGCTGGGATTGAACCCAGACCCATTGGGGTGTGAGAAAGCAGTCACGCTTACCACTACACCACCGGCGCCAGCTGATTTTGTAAATGAAACTGAAAAAAATGAAAAGTAATCTCCAAATAATAATAATTGCAGATTTGGAAAGGGTGGTAAATCTATATAGGGAAATGTATGTAATGTCGGCTTGGGGCCTCCCTTAGCTCAGTCGGTAAAGGCGCAGCTACAAAGCAAGACTATGCTGGAGGTGGCTGGGTTTAATTCCCGGTCCGGTGTAGGAATTTTTCGGGACTTCCCTGGGCATAAAAGTATGATTGGACTTGCCACACAATTATACCAATGCAAAAATGGTACATTCATCGAAAGCTCTCAATTAATAACTTTGGGAGTGCATCTAGAACACTAAGTTGAGAGCACGCAATAAGCTAATATGCGATATGCAATAAGCTTGAAATGCGAAGAAGAAGAAGAAGATGTAATGTCGGCTTAAGTGTCCCTAATTTGGGTCCTAAGCATTTTTTAAATTGTTTTCAACTACGTATGAATAGATGTTCTGAGGCATAACATCTCTGATCACGCCTTCCTTCGGAAGGGAAGTGAAGCCGTTGGTCCCCGGTTCATGAGTCGATGGGTCGATAGGTAGGGTCCAGGTGTAGGAGCTGCATCCCTGGCGTCGGTAGTATTGGTGCTTAGCACGAAAAACAAGATCGACGGAAAACAAACCAAAGCAAAAAAAACTACGGATGAATAGTTGAAATCTTTCTATCCATGTGAGAATTGAGACCAAACCAAATTAAAAAATACTACCCATACTAATTCCATACCAATTTAAACCACAATGCGGAAAGTAAACGTCCCCAAATTTTGCACAGTTGTTTGGGACCCCTAACGGAACCAAATAAATTATTTTTTGAAATAAATGATAATGATGACCCACATTTACACGACACGCACGTCAGAGAAGTCTATAAGGATGATTTTTTGCCTACTGTACCGTGATTGGAAAAACTATCAAAAAGTAAACAATATGCTGCGGTTACCTGATAATATCTAATTTATTTTCCTCCACATAGCCAGATACATCAGTTAAGAACGATTTCCTGCACTTTGGGTACAGCAAATTGCAGTCTGCTCCGTTTTGTCCAAGTCGTTCAGCCAATTCATATTTGTTTTTCAGTTTTCGCTCATGCACTATATCAAACGCTTGATGTTCCGTTGGCCTGTAAAAGATAAAATTCAATAGTTGCCAATACGGTTGCAAACAGATTTGAACATTCTTACGTCAGCAAAAACTGTAGGATTTCAGCGTACAAGTCTTCATGTACGTTGTGGAATGGACTGTGTGCCAACTCGCACACACTTTTCACCACACAATCTTCGTCATATCCGTTGAGCTGGAGAACCTCTTCCAAAGCAACATAGATGTCACCTGCACTCAAATGCTTTGCCGACCTCCTCTTCCGGGCTGCCCTAGCAGTAGTCATTTCAGTTGGCAAATATCTCCCCTTCACTATATCCGTCAACGCACGGCTCCAATATGGCAATTTATAGAAATCTTTCAACCGGTACGGGAGATTAAAATTGAACTGCATTCCTATGTTCACACCCAACCGTCTGAATGGATATTTTTTCTTCGGTACAAAGAATGGTGTTCCTGATGAGGTACAAATTGATACCTAGAATATATAAAGTTCGATTATTTCCAGCAATTACTGATTCTTCAGATATTCACACAACCTGCAAAGAACTTTGGCTGGGATACATCATTGTACGACCTTCTTCGATTTCATGAGTGTCATTATTTGCCCTGATTGACCCAAACACGCCTAATTCCTCGCTGAAGCAAAGACATAAAACAAATACGAACGCTATTGAGAGAAAGTACATTTTCGGTAGCTACCTGGCGACAAACTGTTGGTTCAAAGAATGATTTGAGGTATTTTTTTCAGGAAATGTCTCACCAAAATGTGCTAACATGAATATAACACTTTCTCTCGATACGTGACAATGAACTGTATAGGTAAAACAAACAACACATCACTTTATGCACACCAAAGATTTTATTTATTAGGATTGTACAATGGCAGAAAATAAGCTGAGAGCTGATTCAGGACATTTGGGATAGATTCGATCACAGTCCATTCGATTTCGACCAGCTTTTTCTGCTGCCTGATAGCGTTTTCGCATTGTTCGTTCGTTTCGGTGAAACGATTGATGTTCAGAAGGTCTGAAATTGAACGGTGTTAGATTTTAGCACAACGAACTTCCAGTCGCAACATTTCACTTACGTTAGAAGAAAATGAATTACTTCTTGGAGAAGGTGTTCTTCTTCGGAATCGAATGGCGTGTGTGCTAATTCACAAATGCTTTTCGCCAAGCAGTCCGGGTGGAAATCCATCGCCAACAAGAACTGTTTCAAAGCTTTGTACAATTGCCCAGCGGTGATTCCCGTGGCGTCGTAGTTGTATCTGCCGAGTTGCTCCGATTCAGATGCATCGGAAATCCTGTTCATTAATATATCACTGGCTGTTCGGGCCCAGTACATTGGCCGGTAGAAATTTTCCAAACGCCACGGCAATCTGTAGTTAAACTGGAATCCCAAATTAGAGGCACCGCGGCCGAACTGGTGGCTGAATATATTTGATACTGTGCAAATTGTTATCTATAATAGGAAGAAGTTTGTGGATGATATGATTGCTTTGAATCGTTTATGGTAATTAAATAACCTGCAAGTCCGTGAGACTAGGATACAATAGTGCTCTTGCTTGACGATCGCTGGTAGAATCGTTGTGCGCATGAGTTACAAAGAACGCATAGGAGAGAATAAGTATCGAAAAGATATTGTCGTGATTCATGATGGGTTGAGTTACTGTTCTAATCACTTAATGATCACCATCTCATTTTTCGCAAATGTGTAAGCAAGCATGCCGGCTGTGTGGACTCTTGTGTTGTAAATATGACTAATTATATGCTTGCCTAAACATACATGTTTATTTACTCGTCATCCATGCGGTATTTGCAGATTTAATTTTGCATGATCTACATGATTTTCTGCGAGGCCTACACCCAACCGGAAAATGTAAGATTCTATTACAGGTTAGTATAAAATGTTTGCAGACTTTTGTAATGTAATGTTAGATTGTGTAATGTAGACTTCGGAAGGATTTTTAAATAATGTTGGGTTTTTATGATACCTAAATGTTTGATCAAAGTTTGTTTATCCAAATACACTGCGACGAGAAAATAATTTCGTTAAGAAATGACTTTACATTTGTTGTAAGAAAACCTGCAGATGATGTAAGAAATTTACACTTACATTTGCGTTTCTGAGATGCTCCAAAGCTTTTTTTTTCTTCTGTTCGTATTGTAGTATATCCCGTGTCCTTAGTTTGATGCATGTCGTATTACTTCGTCACTATTGATAAATGATGAAGTATTCGATTTTTTTACAGTTGTCATTCTTGCATTTATCGCAAGGAACTGACTCTAATTGAAATGTCCCGCTATTTATACCCTTCGGAGTCTTGAAGCACCCTCCAAAGGCGCGCCCCTTTGTCAGTCAGAATTGGATCCTTAGCAAAAAATTAAGGAATGACACCGATAATGAGCATGCATCAGAACCCTAGTCTTAACCACTTCAAATTAGGAATATTTTTGTTGATAAAAATGGAAAATTTTAATAGTGCCTTAGTGGTTATGATCTTCCGGATTTCTTGTGTGTGAATAGTTTAGGTGCAAATAAGTTCAGATCTGCGGAAAATCATAAAATAAGACAATTACTGATGGAAATTGGCAAGATGCTCAATGAAAAATGCTTTAATTTGCGTTGTGAAAAATCCTTATTCTGACCCGAGCAAAGTCTGATGTTGTGATTTCACTGATAATGATTGCTCAGGTTGCTGTCATTTTGGTCGTTTTAATTGTTAAAATATCAAAATTGAGAGCAAAAAAATCTTCCTGTGACATCACATTGAAAACTTGTTATCAGTAAGAGCAAACTGAAATCTCAATTTGAAATCATTTTTTCCTGTTGATAACAAAACAAGTATTCAATTTGATGTTATGCTAAGGCAATGAAAACAAACCTACAAAAACATATTTATGAAGAGCAAATGTACAGCAAAATAAAAACAAAATTTGGTTTCAAATTTGTCAATTGTGTAAACTGAAATCAAATTATGATTTCAGTTTGATGTTGATATCGATTTGCTGTCATTTTGATGCTGGACTTTGCTCGGGGATGTAACCAAACGGTTTGGTTGACGTTTCATCTCGAACTCGTGTGGTGCTTGATGTTCCACAGAAAGTAAGGAAGCAGAAATTTTTAAAGGTTGCCAAGAAATACATGGTTTGGCAAGCGATCTGCTCTTGTGACAAACGGAGTGCGCCGTTCGTGACAACCGGGACTGTAAACGGGGATATCTACCTCAAGGAGTGTCTACAGAAGCGTCTGCTTCTTCTGTTGAAGCAACACGAGGGCCCTACGTTCTTTTGGCTGGATCTAGCTTTGTGCCAGTATTGAAATGTTGTCCTGGAGTGGTACGAAGCCAACGGGGTCACTTTCGTACCCAAGAAAATGAACCCCCCCCCCCCCCCCCCCTCAACGCACCGAAACTAAGGCCCATTGAAAAATAATAAACTAAGGCCCAAAGATGTCAAATCTGAGGAAGACATGAAGAAAAAGTGGATTTCCGTACAGAAGAAGCTGCAGTCAGATGTTGTACAGAACCTTATGAGTGGAGTTAAGCGTAAGGTGCGAGCGTACGATTATGGTATTGAAGTTGAATGAAATAAATATGCCAAAAACTTACTAATGGGTAAATGGGTTTATTGTCTGAAAGATTGAAAAGGATCAGTCAACTAGGTAATTTTCTACAGCGTTTTTTCCGTGATGCAATTTGATGCGGGACACCTTTTATGGGCTGTGTCTTCTTCTACTTTTTTTCAGTTACATATATCTCCAACCGGTGCACAGTAGAGTAAATGAAATAAAAACCTGATCAGAAGTCAAAAAATACACATTAAGTTTATTTTGTTTTGCACAGCTCCATTTTAGAGTATCGTAATCCTGGGAAAATTTATCACAAGTGTGAAATTGATCATCAAGGGTTGCGTTTTCAGTTGTCACTTAGAAAATGTTCGGTGATATGGTAGGTGAATCATTTTTGGCACAGGTTAGCTAGAGGGTGGCCACTGGCCAGCAAATAGGAAAAAAAAACCAGGAAATAACCGGTAAATGGCTGGGAACTTGAAAAGAAGCCGGGAAAACAGGGGATTTGACGGAAGAACTGGGAAACACCAATAAAACTTAACGTATTCCAATAAAAATTGGATGTTGAACAAGAGCTCAAGTTGGAGGGCTGGATTTGAAAAGAGGCAATTGGTGACTATGGGGAACCCTGACCATTGAAGCTGAGTATATATTTGTTGTATTTTTTAATTTATCATATTTTTTTCTGCTAAAGCAAATTATTTTCATTTTACGTTCAATCATAAAGTTTAGCTCTGAACTACTGATTGAATTTTATACGTTGTTCTGCCAATATATCTGAGCTTGTTGGTCACCAATTGTTGAGTTGAGATAAAAGATCTTTCAGCAAATTAGCTTTGATTAATTGCAAATGAAGGTAATTGAGGACATCTATAGCAGATGAATGGCTATTTTTTTTTGTTTTGTTTGCCGAACATCCAAAGTAATGTTCTTAAGACGATTGATTTTACATTATTGGCGTCTGTATTGAAGCTAAATGTAGGCGTCAATGCTTAATGGATGTTTACAATTATTTATTCTGATTTGCAGGGTTCGGGTGAATTACCACCAATACTCCTAAAGAACTACCTCGCACAGTTGAAGGAAAAACATGGGTAGATTTCTGGAGGTAAATTATCATGGAATATTTACTTACTCCAAGAGATTTACCTGTATATTTATATAAATAGAAAATAGGATGGAAATAAATTAGAATTAGGGTGATCATCGTTTCGACTCTCCGTCATATATCACACCTCAGAGGAGCTGGGGGGAATAAGACCATTTCTCCGAAACTACACAATTGGTTTCGCTTTACATTGAAACAAAGATAATAAACGCAATTCTAAATTAAATACTGTAATTCGGGGGTAAATTGATCACATAAAACGTAAATATGGAGAAATTTTACAAGCTCATGGTATTAAAATCAATTGGCTATGTTGATGCTATCGTTCCACAGTTCCAGCGTGGTTGATTTATTTTTGGCCATTTTTTAAATCGCAATTTGGAAGATATTACAATTTGGTGGAATTGATAAACCCCTTAAATGGCTAACGAGTAACTTTCTATGAGATATTCTTATTAAATGTGGGTTCCCTAAATCCTTTTACGAAACATACACACTTAGAAATAACGAATTTTACACGTGGCGGAATCCATCTGTGACATAAAAGCGCAGACGTAAACAAATATGTTATGTAAAATTAAGTGCTCCGAGACTGAAAAGTACGTTTGATTGAGTTGAATTTCGCGTCTTTTATGACTCAATTTTATGTCAAAATGGACGCTCGTATATTTCAGTCTCAGAGCATCTAAATTTACATGATTTTTTCTAAGTGTGTATTTTCAGCAGATATTGTGGAAAATATATTTTTTAAATGCAGTTGCGCAAGAATGTAGGCGTTTTCGTATATTATTGTTAATTTTACAGAAAATCATTAATTTCTAACATTGAAAACATTTTACCATATTTTAAAAAGTATATTGATTGACATTTAGTTAACTGAAAAATGTCCCTATAAAGTTAAGGACAACAATCATTCCAACCTTTTTTTTTTTGTTTATTAATTTATTTGATAAGGTTCAACCGAATTAACTTTACAGAGCCGAGGATTCTTTTTCACTATACAATACATCTTAAAACTATACTCAAAAGGTACAACGCAATAAACATCCCAAGTAATCAACAAGCCCGCTAATCGCCCTTTTTGCAATATAAAGCTGATATATATCTTATATATAGTATGGGAGCCCTATATTAGCTTTATATTGCAAAAGGGCGATTATCGGGCAATTAGCGGGCTGGGTGGTTACATGGGATTTTATCTTCCACTATTCAATAAGCCTCCTCCACCAGAACGGGAGCCGCTTCCAGTGGTTTCATTGTATGGCAGATTCGACAACGGGGGTCAGAGCGCTTCCATTGCAGCAATGGACGCAATACGTGGTCAGTACTCACACACTCATCACGAAACGGATGCTTTTCAAAAGTGACGACGCATCGACCGAAAGAACGGTTGATGAAGAACAATGAGGAGGACCACACAATGGTTGCTGCCGAGTAAACAGACGATCGTGTGACATACAGAGCAGAGTGGTCTGCTTTTGTCGACAGCCGAGTGAACACTGTTCCAACCCTTTAATTCGTATGTTTGAAAACTGATACTGAATGCTATTGAACGTTAATTAAATGAAATTGAAAATAATGTAGGAAAATCTATTTTTTGTAAAGAGAAACACGTCACAGCTACCATTGGAGTCTCACAATGAAAAAACATTAACATTTCTCTTGATATCTACCAATAAGTAATCAATTCTACCCCGGTGATTTATTTGCCCAGTAGTTATTTTTTTTCATTTATTTATTTTGGCGAAATGTGGATTCTTCTGATTTTTTTAAAAACCAATTTTATTCTTTTCGTATCAATATGGGAAGTGTAAAAATATGATCGCACATTTAAAATTCAAACTTCGATAGCAGTTAATATGCTTCACCCTAAGGATAGCTGCTCCGGACCGCCCAGATCTTAAATCCAGCACTGAATCAAGTGAATATCTTCAGCTTAAAGTGGCTGACTTAGCTTTGAAACTTATTAAGAATTTCTTTTAATTTTTATCATTGTTTTAATTAACCTCAAAACACGGTTTCTTTACTCTTCTGAATCTCCTTCAGTGTTCCGTTGAAATTATTATGATTTTAATACCATTAGTGTGTTAACACCTACGAGCCTGACGTCTTACGAACTAAAGTTTAAATTGATACAATGTCTTCAGTTTTCAATAGATTTGTATGAAACAATTCACAATATTTCAGTTCTAATTGGTGTATGTGTAAAATTTGGGCATTAATTTGGTTTAAATTTTTAAATTTTTTAAAATGTAGTGGGGGTACCCATTTTCGGTACTTAAATACCTCACTGCATTCTAGAGTATATTGAAAATTAAACACAAATTATGTTAAAATTAAAAAAAAATTGGATCCAAATGCTGATTGATTGACAGTTATTTCATCCAAATCTGTTGAGAACTGACGACAAGGTAGTAATTTTAACTTTTTATGTCCTAAAACTCCAGACACGTAGGTGCTTACCCAAGTAACAATTTTGATTTTATGAGGATTCTGTAGACCACGATTATAGCATCCTTAAAAACCTCGATAAAACTTGCAATGTTACTTGGGTAGTTTAACGTAGACATTTTTTTATATATTTTTATTATTAAGTGATAAATTCTACACGGGAAAAAATCCGATCTCCGAAATGGGAATAATGACTCATGATTTCATGAACAAAGCGTATTTTCATGTTATGAAAATACACCATGAATAATATTCATGATATCATGAGCAACTTTTGCGTAACGCAAACAAAATCATGAATCTTCCGAGTTGAAATCATGAGCTAAATTCATGGGTTTAACTTTTAACCAAAAAATGTAAAAAGAATAAAATAAAGCATCAGACTGGATTCGAACCAGAGCCCTGATATTATGAGTCCCATACTTTGACCACTAGACTATCAGTACTTGTATAGGATTGAAGACAAAAGGCGTATAATAGATACCTATGTAGTGTGGTTTATGAACACGGTTTGCCAAGTACGTGTAACGCTTGTAGCGGTCTTGATTCCGCTGCATTATGAAATCATGATTTTCCATGACGAAATCATGAATCATTGTTACGATTTCATGGGATGGCAAGTTTTTTTCATTTCATGATTTTTTATTCATGAAAATGGAATCGGATTTGTTTCCGTGTACCCTGAATTACATTACGATGTTAGTTGCATAGTTTGATAGTAAATTGCCGTTTGAAAGTTTTATTTAATCTCATTACAAGGAGTTAGAATAAACTATATTTGAGCAATTTTTTGTGTTAACGTTAAGCTCACATATCGTGATTTAACGTCAATCGTTCAAGGTACTGCCATGAGATTTTCAATCAAACCCAATTTGGAGATCGTTAAGGTTAGTTGAGTCAATCTGTATTTTTGGAATGTAAATAAATTGATTTGATATTTGCCAAACAATGATGCGTATATTCAGAATACAGTTTGTCAATTAAATATTTACAAGTTTACTCAAAATGTAATAAGTAAAACTTCCGGTAATATCGAGTAGAAAACCATATATTCCTTGAAAGATAAATTCTTACTGGTTATAACGGTGGAAAAACCCATCCGGATGTGTCCCGTTTCATTTGGAACACCTCTTTGAATATAGAGGGGCGAATTTCCGAATTAAGTATTTTATCCAGTTTTTAGTAGAGTTACGGTATCAAGTATGCATTGGATAGATGAATGTTTTGAATGTTCAATGAATGATAAATTAAAGTATTTAGTTGATTTATTTACAAAATCCAAAACTTAAGAAAAGTATGATATCACTATGGGGTGGATTAATCTGCACAAGTACTCTTTTAAAACCTTAGTGGTAAGCGTGACTGCTTTCTCAGCCCAGCGATTCTGGGTTCAATTCCAGCCGAGGTAGGTGGGATTTTTCTGAGCCATAAAAATCTCTGGTCACGTCTTCCTTCGGAAAGGAAGTAAAGCCGCTGGTATCGGCCCTTGTGTGTTTGAATGGGTGCGATATCCTACGCAGGTGTGGAAGCTGCCTTCCTGCACATACGATTGCCGTCAATGGATGGCAATCGATGTCCGTCGGTGATTGGCACTAGATTGCGGAATAGAGATCGACGTTAAATGAAGGAAAGAAAATTATTTTTAACAGCTTCTTGGGTCATTTGTGATGAAATAATGTATTAACATATTTTTAATCAAGTTTGATGTATTCAGTGCCTTACTGGGCGGTGCAGAAATGTGTTAATTCCCTTGAACTTCATTGAAAAATTATGTCCAGTAAAGCCTCTGCAGCGTTTTGCTTTCACAATTAAAATTCATCGGTTGAGTGGAGGCACGATTGAGACGTCATTTTACGTGATAAGTTCAAAAACCACGGAATCGAAAGCTAACTCATATTACAACGCTGCAGAAGTAGAAAGTAATGTCAACGGGCTGCTGTCAATTACTAAATCAAACAGCGAAGTCATACATCTCAATTGAGGCACGAATGCTCTATATTTTCAATTCGTTCTCGCGGAGGGCACATCTGTGTCAGCCTTTGTGAGACTTGGAAGGTGAAAAGAAAATGAAACTGATCTGGTTCGCAATGGTTGTTGGGATTAGTATTTCAATAGTGCCGGGATTCGCTGAACATGACGATTACTATACAAACTCTACAAGAACATTGGCGCGAAAAAAAAGATATCTTATTTTTCGGGACATATCAAGAGGATTTGTGTGTTTTCCTGCTGGATGTGAAAAAAAATGTGGTCACTTTATTTGCTACTTTCAGATTCGTGTCAATGTCAAGGATAGAATGATTGACTCTACAAACATATGGGCTCAAGGAGTTGGGTTCCGTTGGAACGTTGAGTATAATAATCCTCCGGGACTCAAAATCACCAAACGGGATGTACATAGAACTCTAGAAGAGATGCTGCAAATGTAAGTTGACAAGATAAAAAGTGATACATTACTTAACGAAATAATTAATTGCAGGCATGATTTCGATGGACGAGCATGTATTTTAAGAACAATTTGTGAATTGTCTAATAATATCACTCCTAACAGTGGAATTATTTTCAAGTTGTTCAGAAAGATTTTCTCGTAAGTATACTGTTTTAGTCTATTTAATAATAATGTTAAAATCTTGACAAGTACTCACTATCATAATATTCAATTCAATTAAATCACCAGGTTTTGAACGCTCTCAATAAGATATCGCCCAAGTGCTTAAGGAACACTAGACTAAGGTGAATCTCCAATGAAGCCTTATTTTAAAACTTCAAAACAACAAACATCAGCTCCCAAAAAACATACTATAATAAATCTTAGATTCTTCGTTTGCTGCAACAGAGAGTGGCAATTTCATCATTATATGTTGTGTGGGAGCAAACATGAATGCTCTTGAAGTTTCAAGATAAGGCATTTTTATAGATTCACCTTTTATTAAGTTCTTGTTGGGGTTGATTTGCTCTCTTTTTAGTTACTATATTATTTTAACCTTAACGTCAACATTCTGACTTTGAGTATGTGTCTGCAATAGAATTTGATCACCCTTCATTATGATAATATCCTCCGAAAAAAAAAACGCATTACCTTAATGAGCCTCAAGTTGACCGAACATTACATGCATACAGCGTACCTGCAGCAACTGACGATACTTCCACCGGTTCCAGCAGTTTGCCTCAAGGTGATGAAACATACTTCCCCTACCTAGCTTCGAATGATTGTTTGGAGCTAGACAGGCATTGTCCAATATCCCAGCTAGAAATATTGGACAACAACACCGTATAAACCATGGAAGCGAAAATCAAGTGATTCTTGTTTGCACTCTTTGGAATCGAGTTCCGGTTCTGCAGCGTTCAGCGGTATCATTTATCAATTTACTCTAGTTTGCCCTGGCAGCATCCTTCCGTCGGAGATATAAAATATCACTTTCCCACATCGTCAGCGATTGCACCATTAGTTAACAGCAGACACGATGGGATGGCGAACTGCTCATCTTAGGGATCAGTTCAACAGCTTGTCGATATCACCAAAACGGAAGCAGGTGAATGATTGAAGCACCCTCCATCGATAGGGAAGCACTCCGATTACCATCGATAATGTTGTGTCTCATCGGTTGATTAGTATACTTGATGCTGTGATGGAAAGTAAATTTTGTAGCAATAAATGTGATATTTTTTGTTTTATTTTGATTGACTTTCTTATAGATTAAGACATGGTAATACTTTGGGCCGTGTTTATTGACACAAATCAGGTCGTGAACGTTCTCCTTAAAAAAATTTTTTTCACTATGTTACGACCTCATACTGCTCTGTCCCTTTGTAGTTTATATGGGAATCTCAATAACTGATATTTTTCACCTTGTTCTACTGTGTTATCTGACTTATAACGAATGGAGGGGTTTCAGGAGGATGCAGATTTTAGGGGTGACAGTTGAACTTCGGAAATCATTGCACCAAAACTATAATATTCAATCTCAGTGTGAAATTGTTACATTTAAAGTAAAACATGGTTGCCAGTTGAGAATCATTGAAATCTGATTGGTGACCCCACAACCGCATCTAGAATGCTGAGCTCTAATATGAATTCAATTCGGTATCAGCAGAAATGGAATTGGGAATTATTTTTGTGGGTAAAGGGTGTATTCGATTAAAATGGCACACACAAGTTTTCATGGAATGAAAAACTACTAATTAGTTATGATTTACAAAATTTGTTTTATTCCATTTTGTCTCCCATCCCGATGTAATACCCGCACCTTCCTTTTCACTCCATCCATCACATTTTGTTCAACCGATTTTCCCAGTGTTTTTGATAGTTTTGGAATGTTTGCGAAGCTCTGTGCTCATAGTTGCTCAGAATTTTTCAATTGGGTGAATTTCTGGTGAATTTGGTGGGTTCATATCTTTAGGCACAAAATTGACTTCGTTGGCTCGGTACCACTCCAACACGTGTCGAGCGTAGTGACAGTATGCTAGATCAGGCCAAAACAGAGTCGATTCTTTGTGCTTCCTTATGAATGGCAAGAGACGCTTCATAAAGCACTTTGCGTTTCCGTGTAAGTCGCACCGTTGATTATTCCGGAAGTGATTTAACCACATCACAAATAGCCTGCCAGAAAAGGAATTTCTTTGCAAATTTCGATCATTAATTCTTTCGAACATTCTCCGGAACATTGAACTTAGACTTGACAATTAAATATTCTTCCCCAGGAAGTTGACGGAAGTCGGCCTTGACGGAAGTTTCGTCATTCATCACGATGCAACACGATTTGGTCAGCAACTTCGTGTAAAGTTTCCGGGCGCGGGTCTTCGCAATGATGTTTTGCTTTTCATTCTGGTTTGGGGCTTTAAACACCTTGTAAACATGCACGCTGCATGGTTTTCTGCACAAAACCAATTGACATCTTGAACTTTTTAGCGACACCTCGAATTGACATGTTTGGTTCTTGAACTGTTGCAACTGTTGTTTTCGTGGTGCACACCATTTGGTCATGGACAATTTCTTGTTTCGACAACATGACTGAAACTGCTGTATGAATAACTATAAAACTTGACAGATGTAAACAATACACTTTTAATAATATTTACTAAAATTTTCAAGTTTTTTACTCATATGGTTCGAAAGCAACAGAAGATTTTCGGTGTGCCATTTTTATCAAATACAACCTCTATACGTGTATATTAGACTGATGCAAAATTTGAAATTTTCGCTGCACAGTGCTCAAACGGTTCCAAATTGGGCCCTGATTAGCCTCCCAAAATTTGAACTCATTTAGTAAGAAACTGACTTGGCACAAACCATTTGAAGTTTATATGGGAATTACTATGGGAAATGGATATAATGTCGGCGTAAATGGCCATAATTTGGGCCCATACATAAACTCAACAATCAACTAAATTTTCAATAGCGACCAAAAATATCCATTAGTACCGTCTCAATGACGCGTTCATCTAGATACAATTGATAAATAGCAGAATTTATCAAAACCTAACCCCTAATGGAAGTGACACTGATGAAGACTGCACATTGCAGTCGAAATACGTATCTGTCATGGATACCAACATTACTTAAGTGGAATTAAATGGAAAATAACCTGTTTTGCTGTTTTATTTGTGAGAAAGATTTTTTTGTTTATTTTCTTAGGTTTTAGTTCCGACGGAACCTGAAAAAGAAAATTTTGGCAGGAATTTCACCAAGGCCCAGGTATAATCAAAAGCATCTTGCCGCTCAATATAGTCCTTTAGGGTGCCCTTATGAGCCACTGGAAGTGCTCAGGATACTTGAAACAATTAATTCAAATTCAAACTTCAGATATTTGAAACAGTTACACACGTCAAAGATCACGAACATTATAAAATAATAATCAAGAAAATATTTCCATTGGTTTGAGCCTGTAGCAATTGATATATTTTTTAGATAATACTGATGCTGATTCCTAAAATATTGAAAAAAAAAATATAACAGTAGTGAATGAGAATTCTAAACCGTTTTTACGGGGATTGACAGGTTTCATGGGGGGGGGGGGGGGGAATTACAAAGAAGTTCTGACTTGAATTTCAAGGTGATTCTTAGAAGAATTCAGGGATATTGTGAGGAGGTCTTTAAACTCTAAAGTAGGCCATATTTAAGATTTAAGCTTTGATTAAAGTTCTGTGATAATTGAATTGCTGGTAAACGCATTAGTGTTTCCAAAGCATTTTTTCCCTTGATTTGTTTTCCGTGCTGAGCACCAATGCTATCGACGCCAGAAAGGCAGCTCCCACACCTAAATCCTACCTATCGACCCATCAACTCATGAACCGGGGACCAACGGCTTTACTTCCCTTCCGAAGAAAGGAATGATCTGAGATGTTATGCCTCAGAACATCCCGGCGGCGCCGACTGGGATTGAACCCAGGTCTACTGGGGTGATAGGTAATCACGCCACTACATCACCGGCGCCGCTAAGTGTTCTTAAGTAATTCTATATTACTCTTACCTTAATAAAAGTCATGTGTATCCATTTGTGGTGCCAAAAACTAGCTCTCAAATGATCATAATGACTTTCGGCGTCAGTTTGCGATATATGCCACGTCTTTGGTTCATGCTAGTGATAGAATTTCTATGGAACATGGGATATATGATATATGCGTCCGCTGCTGAACAGAATTCATGGTAAATTTGAAGGACGATTTTATGGCATTCTGAAAAGATTTCAATGAAGTTCAGATGTTGAAAGGTTGACTTTTTTGCCAATTAGTTTATTTGTTAGACTCAAATGTATAGTATGACCTGTTTTGTACGTTTTTTACAAAGTAAAAGGAGTGTTGGATTGAACTTTTATTGTGGCTAGTAAATAAAATATATATATGAAATAAGAGAAGGGATTCAATTCAACTAATCCGCACCGGGTGTTATTATCTCACTCGAATCCACTGTAGGGGATAGAACTTCTTCGTCCTAAGAGCCCATTTTTGGCCTGCCTTAATCACTTCAAACTAGGGAACAACGAATAGAAGATTATGAATCACATAGATGAAGACTAACTGATTCATTTTTCCCTGTTTCAAGATCATCCTCGGTGGACAAAGCCAAGTCTTGTTGCTAACAACAAGGCATACAAAGTAAAAAGGACTAAGGGCAGCTACAATAGCTTTCGTGAAGCTCTGATTTTGTTTGGCAGGACTTTTCTTTCTGCATAGTTTAAAGATCACGAAAAATTAGTTCCTATAAATTTAGGGCAGTTCCATGAATAACTTTGCAAAACTTCAGTGACACTCTTAGATCCGAGTAAATTATCCCGATAATTCCAGGAAAGTCCAAAGATCGCAAAAGAAGTTAAAAATACTTCAGACAATATTACGGCCCTTCACAGAAGTCCAGAGACCTTTCAGAAGTTTCCGGCAAAATTACGAAAACTATAGAGAAGATTCATGCACATTAGGAAAATTGCGGTATCTTAAGAGAAGTTCCGAGAATGCCTACTAAATTTTGGAAAAAAAATCAGGCAATTCCAAAGAAGTTCAAAGAAGTTTGGAGAAGTTTATATAAATTGCGTTAGTTCCAGTTCCATTAGCATTAGGAATATTGTGAAAAATTTTAATTAGTTTTGTGGAAGTCCAGGGAAATTCTGAAAGTCCCTAGATTGTCTGGCAATTTGAAAAAATTTGAGGGAACTTCAGGGTTTGGCTCTGGATTCACATCGAGTCTACGGAAGTTTTTTTAAAATCAAATTACGACAGCTACCCTACACATGTTGCAAAACGGTTGAGCCAACTTTTATATGAATTATTGTTTAAATGACGCTCATATCTGTTAGTATTTTTAATTTCAATGGTGAGCTGATAACAAACAAATTATTCTCATACCTCAATGTCTATAAGAGAGAACTAAATTGTGCGTTATTGACTCTCATGAATGCATTTAAGGTGGTCGGAGCTTACATATGAAAATTCAATGAGTATCCAGCTCTCAATATACCATGACAGCACTGGTTATATTCAAGGAGAGCTCAGATGGAAAGACTCCTAATAGATTCAGTAAATCATCCATATTAAAACAATAACGTTTTCTCTATGTCCAACTAAATATCATGCTTCATTTTTAATTCTCACTCTATTCGTAAATAGGTCGATGTAAGCTGCATTAATAATCAAGGCATACCTTCAGCTGTGGATTTCTGTTTGATGAAGTCATTTACACGTTTCCATTCTTAAATTTCGGCTCATTCTGCTAAAACTTACCTCAGTCATAATCCGAGTGGTGCCTGAGCTTATACGCAGAAGAGAAAGCTGTAGTTTACAAAATTGTTTATATTGAATTTGATACCTATCAACATCAAAGTGCTACTATTTTTGCATTAGTCCAGTGGCAAAACATTGCAGTACACTTAATTAAGAATGATACTCCCTTCAAAGAGAATTATCTATTGCATTGGAGCAATTCTGGTAGTCCACCAAGTTGGATCAATGTGCTTGGGAGAGACTTCCAAACCGAAACATGAGGCAGTGCCAACAAAGTACGATCAAACTCCGGATGACGGCGATGGAAGCGGAACCAGGATCTTGTCGAGAAAAAGGCGTTTCCTATCATTTCCAGAAGGCAGTTCATATCAAGTTGGTCAGTTCAACCAAACTTTTGCGTGTCGTGCATAAGGGTATGTGATATGAGCTTTTTTTATGGGCGATACGAAACGAAAAGTAATTTCGTGATCCACGAAATGCACGAAACGAAATTTTCGAAAAAATGCAGCTCGAAAGCGAAACGTGACTATGGTGGTAAAATTCCGTGACATCAAACGATTTTTAATACTAATTTTTGTTAATTAATTAAAAAATAATGCAAAAAACTTGATACATTCCGACGTTGTCAAGAAGTAGTGAGGGTTTACATTAAAAATCGCGTTCAGAGGAAGTCTTTTACCATACTATCTGTCTTATCCTAAAGGTTATGTCTTCTCGCAGCAGAAATTATTGCTGAGCGATCCATATAAATCACTTTAACTCAAAATATCCATTTAGTTTCATTAGCCGCATATTAAACCAGGTTTCAATCATTTGAATTTTGTTTCAGTATGTTCAACATGCTCATTTGACTGTTTATTGAGGAATGCGTACTGGCCACTTTTTGATACAGTAAAAAAAAATCTTGCTTTCTTCTTCTTTCGCTCTAATTATGAATACATATAGAAAAACCGTTCTAAAGTATGTTGAATCGATGGACTCCTTATTAATAAGGGGCTATCCATAAACTACGTAGACAGTAGGAGCGGGGGTTGGCAACTATCCACGGCCCATACAAATTAAAAAAAAAACTGTATGGACAATTGTGTGGTGTGCACACAGTTTGAGAAAAGAAGTCGTCTCCTCTCTACTCAATCCATGGCCACACTTCACCAGCCTCGTAGTCTGCGAAGGGTCCGCAGGGCGCCTTCCACTTGGTCGATCCACCTTGCCCGATGCGCGCCTCTTCTGCTTGTCCCCGTTGGATCGCTTTCTAGAATGATTTTCACTGGGTCGTCGTGCGGTATTCTTACAACGTGCCCAGCCCACCGTAGTTGCCCAATTCTTGCAATGTGGACGATGGATGGTTCTCCCAGCAGCTGGTGCAATTCGTGGTTCATTCACCTCCTCCACGTTCCGTCATCCACATGTACTCCACCGTAGATGCCCAAGTAACACATAAACATCTTTTTGAAAAATAATTAGAATGGTTTGTTGTATAAATGTATTAAAGGTGATGCAGAAAACATCCCACGTTTTATATGAGGTTTATAGATGTATTATTCATACTTCCTAGACTTCAACATTTTCCAAAATAGTTTTCATTTGCTTTTAAATGTTATTCAAACGTTCATCTTACTGTTTTAATGCCACTATAAAACTTATCGTACATCAATCTTTGTTGCATTTATAAAGTTCTTCAAGAGATTTTTTATTTTTGAAATTGACGTGGACATTGTCGGCGCCATTGAGCAGTGATTGACAGTTTCTTATGAGGTCTTTGGAGGTTTGTTATAAAGAAAGTTGAAAACACTTTTTTATGACATCTCACAAATTTATACCACTGAAAAGGTGCAGGTTGTATTATAAGGGGTTGAATATACTTTTTAATACAAAACGTCTTTTTGACGGATCGAAGGCGTGTTGCACGAGAATATATTTTTCATACCATTGCACAGTGGTCCAGAATGCAGATTTAGGTGGAATGATATGTTTTGAGCCTGAAATTGAAACTTTAGACTAAAAGTCTCTTCTAAAAAGTTGTTCCTTATAGTTAGGCCCTCATTTTTATGACAATGAATTCTAGGGTAGTTCTTATTATCATTAAAATCAATAATCTAACTTTTTTGTTTGAATAAATTAAGGTATACATTCTTGCGCAAAGTTATAGCTGAGCTAATTTCAAGCAACTTTGTTGAAAACAACTGGCCGATTTAGAGCTATTTTCTTGAATTGATTTAGGGTGGCGCAAAAAAAAAACAGTTATTTTGCTCTAGTTTTCGTATTTCAAATTTCTCAGCAAAGGTGTCTTCAAATGACTTTTAGATCTTTAGAAGGCGCAAATTTTTGCTGCAGAAAACTTGTCAATATCTTTCGCCGATCAAAAGTTAATGACGTTTTTGTACTAAAAATATGCATTTTTCAAATGGTAATATCTTTGGTTGGGGCAAACAAAAAAAAAGTTTTTTTACGGCATTTGAAAGGACGTATGTTATTCTCAATAGTGTGAAAAAATTTGAGGTATGTTATTTTTTAAACTCGTATAAAATCAATTTGAATTTATTCATATTTTTTTAATAAATTTGGGTATATCTTTTTTATTAGAAGAGATACAGACAACAAATTTTGGGTTTAAAACATTTGCCTTAAAGAGTTTTAAAAGTCTCTAGAAGATGACTTTCATGAGAAATTGCATATTTTTAGTACAAAAACGTCAATAACTCTTGATCGGCAAAAGGTATTGACAAGCTTTCTGCAGCAACGTATCAAAAAAATTTGCGCCTTCTAAAGATCTAAAAGTCATTTGAAGACATCTTTGCTGAGAAATTTGAAATAAGAAAACTAGAGCAAAATAACTGTTTTTTTTTTAGCGCCACCCTAACTCAATTCAAGAAAATAGCTCTAAATCGGCCAATTTAAGAGATACAAAAAAGTTGTTTTCAACAAAGTTGCTTGAAATTAGCTCAGCTATAAGTTTGCGGAGAAAAATATACCTTAATCTATTCAAACAAAAAAGTTAAATTATTGATTTTAATGATAATAAGAACCACCCTAGAATTCATTGTCATAAAAATGAGGGTCTAGCTATAAGGAACAAATTTGTAGAAGAGACTTTTAGTCTAAAGTTTCAATTTCAGGCTCAAAACATATCATTCCACCTAAATCTGCATTCTGGACCACTGTGCATTGGTAAGAACATCATAGATACTTATAATAAAATATTCATCAAGCGGAGTAAGTCTAGTAAGTCTGCCGAGGACTGAATAAAGAGGCTTAGAAGCAGAGGGGTGAAAATCAATTCTCTTCATCGATTGCCTCTTTTGATGCCCATAGCTTCACTAATCTATTTCGCACTATTTCTGCTATGTTCTTCTATCATTCAGAACAACAAACGTATCAATGAATGTGTTTGCCGAAACAGAAAGTCGATGAAGAGAATCGATCAAAACCACTTGCACCTCTGCTTCCAAGTTTGGTTACAAGATTACAGCTCTGGAGAGCATTATTGAAATTGGTCCAGGGGCAACTGAGTTATTAACGTTCAAAATCTTTCATAATTTTCAAACATCCATTTTTGATTTTCACAAAGTGTACCCCTATATAGAAAGCACAGACGTAGTTCTACGCAAAAAAATAATACATGAAATTAATTCGCGGTAGCTTTACGGAGCCAAAGTTGAATTTCTCACAGTAATTCCCATATAAATTTCAATGGGCCAGTGCAATATGAGTGTGCAACCAAATGAGCTCGCAACCAAACGAGCTATCATTTTAAGAGAATGATCAGGAATGATTTGATATCGATTTGGTAGAGCAAAATCGATATTTTAACAACCCTATTGAGCAGCATTGTTAAATAAAGTTTTCAATTTTGTTTTTTTCCGTCGATCTTGTTTTCCGTGCTGAGCACCAATGCTACCGACGTGCCAGGAAGGCAGCTCCCACACCTGGACCCTACCTATCGACCCATCAACTCATGAACCGGGGACCAACGGCTTTACTTCCCATCCGAAGGAAGGCGTGATCAGAGATGATATGCCTCAGAACATTCCGGCGGCGCCGACTGGGATTGAACCCAGGCCTGCTGGGGTGAGAGGTAATCACGCTTACCACTACACCACCGGCGCCGTTTGAGTTTTCAATTTTTTTGTAAATGGCGAAATTCCGTGGAATTCCGTAACATTTCTAAAACATGGAATTAATTAATTTCAAAATTTTCTGCTGGGTTAAACGCACTAATAGTGGACGTACGTTAGTGCAATGTGTTCTTATAGTGGCTTATGTATAATCAATAAGCCACTATAGGAATACATTGCACTAACGTACCTTCACTATTGGTGCATTTACCCTATAAGCAAATGAAACGGAACAAAAAATAAGCGAAACAGCCCCAAAATATTCCGCGTAATGCCATTTCGAGCCGTAATAAACTCAATATCGCATACCCTTAGTCGTGCATGAGATAATGTTTGATTTGATTCAACTTTGTACATGCTATAGCTTATGTGTCGTTTGTACAATTCTCGTTATCTGTTTTATTTTTAGTTATGGACCAAACAATTCCGATTGTTTCAAAGACTCTTGTGTACAGCGTCGGCATTACGGTTGCTTTAGCATGGCAGCTACCCACCATTTCCCTATTTACTATCGCAAAATTGCTTCGAGAAAAAACTGTTGATTCAGGTGCATTCAGACGAACTGACGAAAACATTAATGCCACTACACTGATCGAAACAAGTACCAGAAGAAACAACCAAAGTCATACAAATTCGTACTACTACGACAATCCCTATAACAAGAGCTATAATAGGAGGCCTAATGGATTGGATCATAATTCCAGCAACTACAATGATCTGCACCAACTGCACCAGCAGCACCAGTTGTCAACACGGAAGGGCTATTCTAACCGTATAAATTATTACACGACTGTTAATGGTAGCAGCTATGGCCCGTATGATATATATCGCCCCCAGTGGCAGACTGCTCAGCATCGAGGATTTTTGACTGATAATTTGCCACTAAACTTCCTATCTCCATTCAATTGGACCAGACACGATTGGAGCAGTCTTGTCGCTAGGTAAGTCGGACAATTTAGGACTTTTAATTTCATAACAACCCAGTTCTGAATGTAGTTTGGATTGTAGTTAACTAAAGTCCTGATCATTTTCCATCTACATAGGTATTTACAAACGTGGATAGGAAAGCACCCTCCAAACTACCAACAGAGCGGTAGACAATTTTACCCGGTATTTGGGAAACGCAGCATCGACGAACATACTCATCCCGAGGATAAATTCTTCCTGAACCATCACCGTTCGACGCGACATGAATTGTATCTGCAGATAGAAAAATTCCTGGAAGCGTAAGAATCTGACCGAGTGGAATAAAGCTTTACACATTTACTAATTACCTAACCCGACCTTTTAGGAAAGGAAAACATGGACATCATTGCGTGCTACGGGCCTTGTGTGAAAGTGGACAACGGAAACACGGTAATGAACCGAAGCCGTTTTTGAAGTCGATTATGAAGGCTGTGTTTAGGTAATATTAGTCTAGTTAGATTAGATTTTCGAAAAGATAACGTTGAGATTCTGCTTGCAGTATGCCAACAACCCATGAAGCGAGCACCCATCATAAGCATCGGATGTATGACGAAGCCCACGGCCATGTTGGGCGCTGTGCGGAAAAGTTTTCATTGTGTCAGGACAGCATATGGTCAGAAGATTTTCTATTCTAGTAGAAATGGTGGCAAAGCTTTCGTACCAAATATTTGGTAGGAAGATTTTTTTTCTTCGATAAAGTGTATTTTAACGTGTCTGTAATTCATACTGAAAATAATGCCACTTAATCCAGGATTAGGAGAGGCATAGAATAGATCATCAACTACTTCGCGTGGAACATTTTACTCCGTAGATTCATATTGACCCTACAATTTTTCGGTACATCTTACGAGTGTTAATACATCTCTAAATAGTTTTGTCCACTTAATGGCCGGAGTAAAGTCCTATAAGGGACGTAATAAAGAACTAGGGGTACCTGGGTTAACATGCACCATTGGGGCAAGATGAATTTCCTTCATTTTGAGCCTAAAATACATTTTACAGCAAAAAAGTTACCCTACAATTTAAACCTATGTTTGTTTGAACACCGTATCAATTTACCAGCTCTATGTTATCAGATAATGTAAATAAAAACAAAAACCAGTTTGCATTGAATATAGTGCAATTTTGTCCTCCGCATTGTTAAGATTTTTTAGCGATTTAAGCGTTATTAAGCGTCGGTGAAAGATATTACCCTTTTGACTAAGGTTAGAGCTACATCTTTCTGATAAAGTACCAGTAAGTTTTAATGTGTATTTCTATGTTATGGTCAAAACAGTTTCTTTATACATTAGAGGAGTGCATTTAATGCATTCCTAAGCTCGAGGCAAAATGATCGTTTAGTAGACAAGCTTTGTTTACGTTCTATTCTTTCTTCAGCAATGTTCCGCAACGTTCCGAAGTCAATAAGGTGGTCATGGACCTATGAAAAAATACGATCGGAACTGGAGGCTGTCAAAAACGAAGACGTTCTTCTGCCTCGATTGGTCATGATCATTTATAAGACGGCAAGAAGAGCCATATTGCTCCATTGTTGGGATGCATTTTGCATCATCATTATGGTGCGTATTATTACGCCTATGTTGTTGTGCATTTCACCCCAGCATGGGTGCATTTTGTCCCGATTAGTAGTATCCCCAGATAATTTTATCAATTTCTAAAATCACATTTTAAGGTATTTTTTTTTAAGTTTTCATATCTGTTGCGAATACTAACAACTAAATAATGCTTAAATGAATTTATGCAATACATGATATTCACAGTTGCTTTTAATTTTAACGGCAAAACACCTTGATGTATTTTAGTCCAGGAACCCCTAAGGCAAAAATATATATCAACAGCGCAATCTCAATATCATAGAATGCACCAAAATACGAATGAAAAAGCGCGTCAAACGAAAGTCATGCAGGTATGTTATGCAAATTTACATCGATGTGCTCAATCCCATCTAATTTCAATGGAATTGCTGTCCAAATGCCATTTATTTCCATTTGTGACAATTAAAATCACACCATATTTTCAACGTGGTGTAGTGCATCGACTTTGATGTGATATGAATTTAATTTTTTTTTTCTGTGTAGAGCATAAAACTTGCAATAAAGTTTTATGACAGTCCAGCAGAAAAGGTTAGTGTAACATTACTTATTTGATTAGATTTACGATTTAGGTGACGTAATATAACCACAGACAAACAGACATAACACTCACAAGTTGTTCATCGGTCAAGCATTTAACAGTCAATTTAAAAGTATCTCAGTTGGTAGTACTGCCACCTGTGGCGCGCATAGTCAATTTCCTTGCGTTTGACGTTTACACATTACCGCCATCTGTTCAGCGTACTACCCACCACAGTGTACTCAACAGATGGCGGTAATGTTTTAGCGACGATGTTTTACAATGAAAAATATTCAATGTGTTATGTCTGTTTGTCTGTGGTATAACGTTAGTCCAACACTTTTGTTGATTGCAACCCACTTTGAGAAACTCCATGAGCTGGCGACGCAGATTTTGTAAGGCCGATCTTCAAAACTACAAAAACGGCTTTGAAACACCAAAAATGAACTATGCTCGCCAAAAACTCCATCGCATGATTACTTGCAACCCAAACACAGAATAGAATTGAAACGGCTTAAAATATCCAAAACAACTAAAAAAAAAACGAACAAATTGCGTTAAAACGAAAAATCAGTGGTACTCCGCGGACACACTTGGATGACAAACTATGAGTATGAGCATTATTTGTATAATAAATTATAAGCTTATGTCGAATGTTAAACTTTTGTTAGACATATATGACACATGTTGTTAGACATTACCGATGTATTTAGCTAACTTGTTAGTCTAACGTGAGACTAACGGTAAGTATACAGTCAGGAATCCTTATTGCCGGGGTAACGGGGGCGTGAATAAGGAACCGCGAATAAGGATACCCACAGCTTATGGGATTTTCACTAATGGGGGCTGTAGTGGATTATCTCATTTGTTTCAATACATACAGCTATACTGTCTTCGACAAAGTTGCTGTACTGGGTTAGACCAACAAGCCTGTGCCATTGAATTCGGGTTAAATTGAGAACTACGCCGCTAGAGGCGCTTCACTTTTATGTTACTTATGACGGGCGCTATAATATTCTGACCATATAGAAAGTTACTGTCTTCAGCAAAGTTGTTCAGGTGACCAAGTTCTTTCGGATGGTGGCCATATTAGTTCAGAACTATCTCACTACGCAGCGCTAGTGTGCATGTGCAATTCTTATATAAACTGTATCTCGAGAGCCTGGCCATATAGAAAGTTGCTGTTTTCAGCAAAGTTGTGCAGGTGATCAAGTCCTTTTGGATGGTGTCCATATTAGTTCAGAACTATCTCACTACGCAGCGCTAGTGTGCATGTGCAATTCTTATATAAACTGTATCTCGAGAGCCTGGCCATATAGAAAGTTGTTGTTTACAGCAAAGTTGTTCAGGTGATCAAGTCCTTTTGGATGATGTTCATATTAGTTCAGAACACGCTCACTACGCGGCGCTAGTGTGCAAGTGAATTTCCTGTATAAGCTGTATCTCGAGAACCTGGCCATATAGAAGGTTACTGTCTTGAGAAAAGTTGTTCAGGTCACTAAGTCCTTTCGGATGATGGTCATATTATTTCAGAACCCTCACACTACGCGGCGCTAGTGTGCACATGAACTTCCTTAATATGTTATGACTCCAAAGCTTGTCCATATAAGATGTTGCTGTGCAATGTGAGATCAGGAACCGGAAAAAGAATAACGTGTAGAGGCCGGAAATCGATGTCAGATGCCATTTTGGAATCCAAGATGGCGGCCATCGGTTCAAGAAAAACTGTCAAATACCCTACAATATGGATATTTTTGGAAAGGGGATGACGTGTAGAGGCCGGAAATCGTTGCCAGACGTCATTTTGGAATCCAAGATGGCGGCCATCGGGTCAATAAAAACTGTCAAATACCCTATAATACGGGTATTTCCGGAAAGGGAACGACGTGTAGAGGCCAGAAATCGATGCCAGACGCCATTTTGGAATCCAAGATGGTGACCATCGGGTCAAGAAAAACTGTCAAATACTCTACAATATGGGTATTTCCGGATAGGGAACGACGTGTAGAGGCCGGAAATCGATGTCAGACGCCATTTTGGAATCCAAGATGGTTGCCATCGTTTCAAGAAAAACTGTCAAATACCCTACAACATGGGTATTTTCGGATAGGAGATGACATGTAGAGGCTGGAAATCGATGTCAGATGCCATTTTGGAATCCAAGATGGCGGCCATCGGTTCAAGAAAAACTGTCAAATACCCTACAATATGGATATTTTTGGAAAGGGGATGACGTGTAGAGGCCGGAAATCGTTGCCAGACGTCATTTTGGAATCCAAGATGGCGGCCATCGGGTCAAGAAAAACTGTCAAATACTCAACAATATGAGTATTTCCGGAAAGAAAACGACGTGTAGAGGCCGAAAATCGATGCCAGATGCCATTTTGAAATTCAAGATGACGACCATTGGTTCAATAAAAACTGTCAAATACCTTACAATATGGGTATTTCCGGGCGTGTAGAGGCCGGAAACCGATGCCAGACGCCATTTTAAAAACCAAGATGGCGGCCATCGGTTTTAAGAAAAACTGTCAAATATCCTACAATGTAGGAATTTCCGAAAAGGGACGACGTGTAAAGGTCAGATATACATTCCAGCCGCTATTTTGGAATCCAATATGGCGGCAACATGTTTTCCATAAATAAGGCTTACCAAGCATATTGCGTATAATTTATTGTGTATAGCGTATCATTGAGCAAGATCGCAACGTAACGTGGAAAATTCCTCAAAACAATAAAATGCTTTGATTTGTTTTGTTTTTTCTATCGTAAGCTACAGATTTATTCCACATTTTATTTTCTCTTTCGATAACAAAGAACCAACCAGTGCTGTCATGTTTTATGCATTCTAGTCACTCTCGTTCTTCCACACCGTGAGATGGGTCTCGACTTCCCTTAGCAAATCTTGCGTTTTTGCACTCCGTTCAACATTGCTGTCCAATGTGCAGAAACTTTCGACCTCGGAGAGTTGATTTAGTTTTAACTCGATTAATGCCGCACCAGGTGGTGGATGAAAATATCAACCATATTCACTGTAGAGGGGTCCAGGAATAAATCTGTAGTTTACGATAGAAAAAAATAAAACAAAACAATTAAAAGCGTTTTATTGTTATGAGGAATTTTCCACGTTATGTTGCGATCTTGCTCAGTGATACGCTATACACAATAAATTATACGCAATATTCTTGGTTAGCCTTAAATATGGAAAACATATTTTTTTTAACTAGTTCGTTTATTTGGAAGGCTCAATCACGTTAGCTTTACGGAGCCGATAGTTCATTGTTCTTTGTTTGTAACAACATTCACTTAATTCTATGTCTAGTAGGAGTTGGGCCGAATATTCGCGGCTTACTCGAGGTAAGAGAGGTACATTGTCAAAGGATAGGGGAGGAGCTTGAGGGCAAGGTTTCGTTGTCTCATCAGAGCGTTGTCACCAGTATGAACGGTAGTGCGGTTCTAGTTTCGTCTGGAGTTCGATCGGCTATGGTGACCATGGAAAACATGTTGCCGTCATATTGGATTC